CCAGGCTGCTGCTATCCTTGAGGGGTTAGAGGAACGTGGACTTTGTTCAACCAGCCCTCCAGAATTCCTGGCCTAAACTCCACTACAAACCTAATCCCCACCGAGAACCATCCCTGAGTTGCAGGAAGCAGAGATGATAACGTGTACAGAATCTCGTGAGCTGTACGTGGCAGATCTGAGGTCCAGTGGCCTCCTGGCTTTTCCCTTCATGTTGGTGAACGGCAGCTAACCACGGCGCTAGGTTCACAAGCCTGGTCACAGAGGTAGGTCCAGGTCATGTGTGAGCCACGGCAGGGACACACAGGATAGCGTATAGCCGCGAACAGGGCAGGGCCCGATCCCATTTTTGTAGGGAAAAAACAAAGTTATACATAGAAATGAATACGCCTGGAAAATATCTAGAAAGATAAATACCAGTGTATTAACAGCCTGAGAGTTCTGAGTGGTTTTCTTTTTTTTTTTTTTTTGTTATGTATCGTATTTACCTACTTTTTTTCCCCATGTGGTTGAGTAACAATAAGAAAAAAAATTTAAACCACATGTGATGGAAATCTGCACGCAATATGGGCCTTCGATTCAAAGCGCCATCTGGGATTTGCGTGTCAAAGACTCATGGTTTACAGCCGCAGATGGCTGTAGCCGCCATGTGGAAGGAATTAGAGCAACTAAGCAAGTCCCACCTTAGGAAAGTCCCTACGGCAAATGCCACTCCCCACCGTAGAGGCCTTCCTTGATCATAGCCACCGCATAAGAGAGGGATTTTGTAAAATGGATGACATTATTACTGAAAAAAAAAATTCCATTAGACAATTCGTATTTTTATTTTTGGAAATTAAGTTACTTTTCTAATTCATTCAGCTCTGCGTCTGAAAGAACACTCTAGGAAAACTTGTAAAACAAACGTCCCTCTGCGGTTCAAACTCACTTCTTTGGATCTTTTTCTGTCTTCTAAATTTGTGCATCCATTCATTCTCGTGATGCAAAAAATGAATCTACTCACTAGTGAAAACGGAGTCTCTGAGGGTAAATGCCACCACATTGATTTCAGGATACAATTCTGACGCCGTAGCCGCCTTCTTTGGCATTGACATGCTGGAATGCACCACAGCAAAGGAGGTGATGACATTTCTGTGTCTATGAAAAGCATATGAAGCAATTTTATGGGGTGGTTTCTCATCAAGCCTGCCCAGAGGCAAGGCAACAATCTAATTTAACTCTCGACAGACAGCCTTTTCAGTTCTGTGAGTCTATCAAATTCGTTGTAGAGAAGCATTCATTTTTTTTTTTTTTTGGAATTCCTTATCCCTTCCCGAAGAAGAGATTGGGGGAACATTTGGCCCACATTATTTTAACATAAAGATCAGCCAAGTTCAGGTGGCGAAGATTCAAAGTAACAGTGATGAATCATAATAAAAATAATCTCTTCAGGAGGCAAAGTGATCTTCAGACTATCTAAAATCTAGCCACAAATAAAAATTTTATAGTGTAGTTTTAGAGGTTGGCTAACTCAATCACTCAGTTATATTATCAATAACCTAGATTCTTGAAGTCTTGCTGCTACCGCGCTACAAGACTATTCTTGAAGTCTTGCTGCTAGTGCGATGTACCGCTTGCTGCTACATTCTGTTCTCCTCATGGTTACAGGATGGCCGCGATTATGTAGAAACATCACATCCTCAGTCAAAAATACCCAAAAGCCTATTTCTAAACCAATCATAGACCAGAAGAATTTATTTATTGTAAAATGAATCATGAATCCCTGCCCAGGGCTGGGGGCAGATCTTCCTCCTCCAAAACAGTGGTCTTGATACTTGAACAAAATTAGAGTTGGGTAGTAAGGAAGAGGAAAGGACCGGATGGTGGCAAGTCAGCTATAGAGAGCTGTCACAAAGTTGGACATGAGATTTGTAATTGATAACACTTGATGCTAGAAAACAATGGAGAAATATGTTTACGATTCTCAAAAAGAATAATTCAAACCTACAAAGCTATACCCAGCCAAACTATCAATCACGTAGCGGAGAAAAAATAAAATGGGTTTCAGGTAGGAAAAAAATCAGAAAGTTTATCATCCCTAAGCTTTTTGAAGAATGAAAAGATGTGTTTCATCAAAGCAAAATTGAAACCCAAGAAAGAGAAACATCTGGGATTCAGCCAAAGTGAAATCAACCTAAGAATGCAACGAAAATAAATTGTAGCTGGAAGCTGCAGCAGTTCTAGAAAACAACTAAGTCAAAATCAAAATGAGACCTGTCAAAGGACTCCACTAAGGATATCCTCAAAAGCCGAGAGAGTTCCATTACGTACTTCTGTGATGAGGAACTGAGAAACTTTGATCTGATGAAAGCATATGTTTCCTCTGTCAACAACAATACATGAAACAGCTAGAAATTCCCGGGAACATAGCAGCTGTAAAATGTCATGGTGCAAATATGAAGCAGAATTAAAAGTTGCATGACATTGGGCAATTATTTTAATTATAAAAAGAATACATTTGGCCATGGGGTTTACAAAGTTTTCCTTCTGGTTCCCAGTATAGGGAAACAGGATTACTTTTGCTATAGATCTATTTGTACTTTGGAAGGGAGAGAGCTCATCAATAGATGATATTCATATCATTGTAATTTTGCAGTTATTGTTTTTGCTCTAAAGCTTTATAATCAGTCTGTAGGCAAAGTGAGGAAGATTAACTATAGTCACAGAACCAAATGTTGAGGTTACGAATTTTAAAGATGTAGAAGTAATGGTATAAGTTAAGACAGTTAAAGAAAAAAAGTCTGAGAAAAAAAAAGTGTGCTAATGTCTCATAGATTTAAGGACAGTAGTTAATAAAACATGATATGAATAAAGATTTAACAATGTCCAAAATAATAGCAATGAATACTCAAATGCCCTGTGATCTCTAAATTCCATTTTATGCTAAAAGTAACTAAAACATGGAGAAGTGGTTAATCCGGGCCTGGGGCACCCAGAAAAGTGTCCCATGACCCAGCAACTTCTACTCATACCAGAAAACAAGGAAGTATCCAAGACTCTCAGAGTCAAGTAAAAAGGACTCAGAAATGAAATTTGAAGAAGCTCTAATTGGCCAAACTCGGGACAATTCAAATATCAATAAGAACCGAAATGCAATGGTTTCAAACCCATCAAACACAAGTTCATCATGAAACTAAAGAAAAACTCAGTGGTAACCATGACAGGATGCGGGGGGCCCAATTTGTTATTTGAAAAACTGGAAAACAAGTTTTAAAGTAATTAAAAGAGTCAGACAATGATATCTGCTTTTCCTGTATCTTAGGCTAACCGAATAGTCAAAGGAGAAATTTCTTTCCTTAGAAGCATTCCAAATATTAAGAGAATGAGGACTGAGAGACTATTCTTACCCTTAATGAATGAAAATTTCTAGGCAAAAGACATCAAATGCTGGAATCATTCGGAGAGATGATCAGGCATGATTTGCCTCTTGGTGGACGTCAACAGCACTATATATAAAGTGTTCTTGCCAGTAAATAAAATCACAGTCTTAGTACGTCTCTAGATCTAATCACCAATTTGGGGGAAATATAAGGGATAGAAGAAAATGTTAAATGACACGACTGAGTTGCAGTCATCGAAATTCAGACAGTGAGAGCAAGGCGCGGTGGGTCACGCCTGTCATCCCAGCACTTGGGATGAGCTCACAAGTTCAAGACAGCCTGAGCAAGAGCCAGACCCCCTCTCTAAAAACTGGCCAGGCCTTGTGGCAGGAGCCCCAGCTATTTAGGAGGCTGAGGCAAGAGAATAGCTTAAGCCCAACAGTTTGAGGTTGCTGTGAGCTGTGATGTCCTAGCACTCTACTGAGGGCGACATAGTGAGACTCTGTCTCAAAAAAAAAAAAAATTCAGACAGTGAAAACTCTATGAGTCAAACAACTCAGTTTTATTTTTTGTTTTTTGTTTTTTAACAACTTACATTACAATGGGAAGGGGAAAAGTAAGGTTTAGGAACCTGTATATTAAAAGAAAAAAGGAGGCATGTCGATCAATTATAGTATAAGGATTTTATTTAGATCTTGATTTGAACAACCTGGAACAAAGGAGAGTAAAATGTCAACAGTAACTGACTACTAAGGAATTATTGTCATTTTTTTAGGTGTGGTAATGTCATTAGGCTTATGTTTTTTCTAAGAGTTCTTATTTTTAAGAAAAACATGCTGAAATATACAAATAAGATAATACAATGTCTAAGATTTGTTTCAAACTAGTCGATGGAGGGGAGTAAATGGAGAAATGGATGGAACAAGACTGTCTATCGTTCATCATAGAAGCTGTGTTCTGGGTATACAGGGGCCTACTATACTCATTTCTGTACTTTCGTATATGCTTAAATTTTTTTATATTAAAAGGTTTTAGGAGATAAAGATTTAAGTGTGTTATTTAAAGCTAAAAGTTAACTTGAAATTATAAGCCAAGTTCAATGGTTCATGCCTGTAATCCTAGCACTGTAAAAGGCTGAGGCAGGTGGATTGCTTGAGCTCAGGAGTTGGAGACCAGCCGGAGTTAGAGTAAGACTGTCTCTACTAAAAATAGAAAGAAAAAAAAAAGAAAGAAAGAAAGAAAATAGGCAGGCATTGTGGCAGGCGCCTGTAGTCCAAGCTACTTGGGAGGCTGAGGCAAGAGGATGGTTTGAGCCCAAGAGTTTGAGGTTGCTGTGAGCTATGATGATGCCATGGCACTCCACCATGCCAATGATGTCTTTAAGTTTGGAAGCAGCTGACTTTTTGTATTCGGACTGTGTTGCTTTGGCCAGTTTGATTTGGTATTTCAGTTTTTTATCAGTACTGAAACAAGCAGTTTTTAATAGATCAGCAAACCCTTTTTTATCAACCTCCAAACTTTCAAATTTTGGTTTACTTTTGCTTGAATTGAATGTCATAGTTACCTTGTCAAATAATATTGCCTTTTCACTAGATTTTTGCACTGTCAGGGTGACAGAGTGAGACTTTAAAAAAAAAAAAAGGCCTGCAGCTAATTAAGCCAATCAAGCTTCTTTCCTCATGGGGGCTTGGTGTGCAATGGCTACAAACAGCAGCCTCCTTGGCAGTGTATGCAGCCTGTTGCTTGTATAGGTTGCTCTAAGGGACCTTGGAGACATTCCTGTCCAATACATGTTCATGTGTTAGACCTTGTGCTGTCCTCACTCTAGGCTCCAGACATGTATGCGTGGTGTCTTTGTAAAGCTCCAGGGCATTGTGGACAGGGTTCACATTGGCCAAGTCATCATGTCCATCTAAACTGAATTACACAAGTAGATGTGATTGAGGCCCTACGCAGGGCCAAGTTCAAGTTCCCTGGCCGCTAGAAGATTCACATCCCCAAGAAGTGAGGCTTTACCAAGTTGAATGCAGATGAATTTGAGGACAGTGGCTGAGAAGTAGCTCATCCCAGATGGTTGTGGGGTCAAACACATCCCCAGTCATGGCCCCCTGGATAAGTGGCAGGCCCTACACTCGTGAGGACTTCCACTGTCCTGCCCCCTCATTTGTGCCTACTTCCTGTCCAAAAAAAGAAAAGAAAAGAAAACCTGAAAGTATAATGTAAGCAGCAAATACCAAGAGACAGAGGCAGAGGGTTGGTGGGAGTTACTAGAACTGCACTCAATCCCTTATCCTGGGAGCGGTCCCAGACCCCCCCCCCCCATGGAAGAATCAATGCAGAGATATATACAGATAATTGATAATTATGGAGCTAACCATGAGAAAGACTTTGAAGTATTTATTCCAGGGAGGGGTGGGGGGAGAAAGGAATGGAAGCTTTTCCTTCTCATTTTATATTATTTATATAGTGTGATGATTTTTTTTTGAGACAGAATCTCACTTTGTCACCCTCAGTCAGTAGAGTGCTGTAGCATCATAGCTCACAGCAACCTCCAACTCTTGGGCTCAAGAGTTATTCTCTTGCCTTTGCCTCCCAAGTAGCTGGGAGGTGCCTGCCACTAATGCCCGGCTTATAGTGTAATGATTTTAACTTGTACATATGTTGCTTTTTATTATGGCAAAACACATATAACTTAAACTTTGCCGTTTTAAACCATTTTCAAGTAGACAATTCAGCGGCATTAAGAACAGTCACTATGTTATGAAGCCATCTCCATTAACCATTTCCTGGGCTGTTTCATCATCCTAAACTGAAACCAATTAAACAGTAACTCTTACCCACGTCCTCAGGCCCTGGCACCCACTGTTCTTCTGTCCATCTCTCTCAATGTGTCACCTCTAAGTATCTCACGTAAGTGAAAGCACACAATATTTGTCTTTTTGGCTTATTTCACTTAGCATAATGTTTTCAAGTTTCGTCCATGTTGTGCCATGTATCAGAACTTCTTCATTCATTGCGATAAAATATATGTGACATGAAATTTGCCATTTTAGTTCGTTTTTAAGTGTGCAGTTCAGTGGCATCAAGTATTGTTGTGCAACCATCATCACCACCCATCTCCAGAACTTTTCCATCTTCCCAAACAGAAACTCCATGTCCAGTAAACAGTAGCTCCCTTCTCCTGTCTGCTTCTAGTTCTGGGCAACCACTGTTCTTCTCAATAGCTAAACTTGACTACTCTAGGCATCTGATATCAGTGAAATCACACCGTATTTGTTCTTTTGCCTCTGACTTATTTCACTTAGCATAACGTTTTCAAGGTTTGTTCATGCTGTACCATGTATCAGAATTACATTCCTTTTTAAGGCTGAATAATATTCCATTATATGCATATATCATTTTTGTCCATTCTTCTGTTGATAGACTTGTGGGATGTTTCCACGTTTTTGTTATTGTAGATAATGTTGCTATGAAATTTGCGTGCAAGTATGCATTTGAATCCCTGCTTTCATTTCTTTGGAGTATATACCTAGGAGTGGAATTACTGAATCATGTGGTAATTCTGTGTTTAACTTTTTGAGGAACTGCTGAACTTTTCACAGTAGCCACATCACTCTATACTCCTCCAAGCACTGCATAAGAGTTCCAATTTCTCCATGTCTTTAAGAACACATTCTATCTTCTGCTGTTTTTTATTCTGTATTTATTCTGTATTTTATTCTGCTATCCTAATGGGTGTGAAGTTGTATCTCATTATAGTGTTGATTTGCATTACCCTAATGACTAGTGATGTTGAATAGTTCAATTGCTTGTCTTCTTTGGAGAAATGTCTATTTGAAATGTCTCTTTGAGTCTTTTGTCCATTTCTAAATAAACTTATCTGATTTTTTTTGTTGTTGAGTTGTAGGGGCTCTTTATATATTACTGTTCAGTTGTATATCTTCTTTGGAGAAATGTCTATTTGAGTCTTTTGTCCATTTCTAAATAAACTTATCTGATTTTTTGTTATTGAGTTGTAGAAGCTCTTTATAAATTCTAGATATCAATGCCTTATCAGATAGACAACTTGAAAATATATTGCCCATGCTGTGGGTTCCCTTTTTACTCCATTAGAGTGTCCTTTGATGCACAAAAGTTTTTAATTTTAATGAAATCCCGTTTATCTACTTTTTCTTTTGTTTCCTATGCTTTTGATGTCAGATACAAGACATTATTTCCAAATTATCAAATTCAATGTCATGAAGCTTTCCCCCTATATTTTCTTCTAAGAGTTTTATAGTTTTAGCTCTTATATTTAGGTCTTTGATCCATTTTGAGTTTAATTTTTGTGCATGCTATACAATAAATGTGCACATATTACTCTTAACGTTTAAAATTAAACATTTAGGGAATGAAGATGTAAAATGACTCAACATAGCTAATGCAACAGGATGGTTGTTATCATTGTGAAATTACCCTTTTACAAAATTGAACTGATTTAATTACTGTTTTGTTTTGTTTTTTTTTTATCCTCAGAAACTCACGGCTTCAAAAAAATCACCCTGTTCTCCCCAACCAAGTTGCCTTTGGTTGAATTGTATTGGAAAGTCCCAAACTGTCATGGATAAAAGGTCAACAATTATTCTTTCCACAGTGCTCTGGAAATATCTCAACCCTTGACAGAAACAGCTAGTTTCCAGCCTGCTTGCAACACCAAAAGTTTGGCTTCTCGTTCAGTTCACAAGGAAGAACAAGAAAAGATTCTGCAAGCCTCGTGCATTACGTCCAATAGGGGATCAAAAGAGTCTGTTTAGAGCCTGCCTGGTTGGCTTGCTGGCTCTCAGATTGGTGGAACTGATCACACCTCACTAACAGGGGTGCCCGCTGTTCATCAGCCAGCTGATGTGCCAGGATGTATACAGGGTTGCAGAGAGAAGGTCAACGGCTACCTCCCCTGCCAGATCTCCCAAGTCAGGGAATGAGGAACTCTCTCCACACCCCTGAAGGCTCCATGCCTGAGCATTTAAAGGGTACTGTACCCAGGACACTGGGAGGACACCAGCAGCTGTCACACTAGCAACACACACACACATACACACACACCTTCTCAGGGCCTTCTCAGGGAAACTGTCCCCTCTCTGTAGACCTGCTCCATAAAATCCAGCAACTTCCTTTTAGTGAACCCTTAATCATTGCTTGCTACTCTATCATCTAATTCCAATAACAACCTGGGAAGGTGGGTGTTTTAGGGTCCCATCCTATAGATGAGGATTCTAAAGGTTAATCAGCATTCTACGTATTTAAGGCGATACAGCTAGAATTCAATCAAACCCAAGTCTGAGTGGACCCAGCCCCCTGTCTGAACCGTCACAGTACACAGGCAGCCCCCACTTCCAGCTTGTGTTTCACGAAGCTCAGCCTCTGACACTGGCGGTTCAAGTCATAAAGGATCACTGCCCAAAGGCCTGGTCCTCTCTGCTCAGCAGTAATGAGGGGCGGCCAGCTCCCCCACAAGGGTAGAGACAGTCTTCAGCCTGTTACCCTCCTCTGCTTCTGCTGCTACCCTCTTCCCCTCACCCCCAAAGCTGCCCTTGGTTGTCGGATACAGTAGAGAAAAAAACAGAAATCAGAGAAAAAAGATAAAAAGATTTGAGACCCCCTGTTCCCAAGCCCTCCCTGCTGAAATCCCCTAGCAATGGTTTCAGAGACTCCGAAAATGCAATAACTGCCTTTGAGAAGACAGATCCAAGTGATTCTGGGGGTCTGTGTTCAAAAACTCACCACAGGGCATTTTCTGCAAGAATAAGAGGGCTTCATTCAATGTGCTCTGAAACAGCTTTGAAGAAGAAACCCTAAACACTTCTGAAATTCTGAAAAGCAACCGCAGTAATGAAGGAAATATACATTTTACATTTGGGACGCCTGAAAGAATGGCTTTGGGGGGTCCAAATTGATGATGGCACAGACCTGTGTTTCTGCTGGCTGTGTGTATTCTTTAGGTTATAGCCAACCTCTGAACATAAATGTGGTGAGTCCTTTGAGGCCCAAAGCAGGGTCATAATAAGTAAAATAAATAAAAGTCAAAAGACCAAGGGTTTTACGTGGTGATTGCTGCCTAGATAGGTTACTTAAGACCATAGGATACTGTATTGTAATCATTCATTCATTCTCTCATTTGTTGAGTCAAGTATTTATTGAGCATTTTCTGCTCTGAAATGTACCCAAGAGGTTTTACTTTATGGAAGCGACTGAGTGGTGCTGCAGAGAGCAGGAGAGCAGGCCAACACTGTTGCAGGCACAATTTATTATTTACAGCACCCAAGAGACGGGGACACACCGCACCGTGCAGGGCCACAAAGGAAGTATTCGGGATGGTCTGGAGACAGAAGAGGAAAATCTAAGCTAGAGACTTGATTGGGGTTTTCATGAGAAGGGCCATGCAGGGCAGAGTAAATAGGAAACAAGCCAAGCCAGTCTGAATAATTCCGGTGAGCTTTGGGCTCTCTGGGTGGTCACCCGGGAATGATGCAGGGGAGGAGAAATGTTGGTTTGTTGTGTGAGTTCAATAAGGAGTTGGTTGGGGCTTTCGACCTGGGGTTGGTTGGTTTGCCTCTGGCCACCAAGTTCTAAGAACCAGCCAGCCCTAGGGAAGCCTCCAAATGCCAGAACATCAAGAATCCAGAAAATAAGAAAATACAGGGTGACACTAGCCTTGAGGGACAGATGGCTGCCAAATAAACAAATGCAGAATCTGAGAAAACGCAGAACACTTCCACAGCATCTGTAAGTTCTGAGAATAC